TCTATTCATCTATCTATCATCTACCCATCTGTACCTCTTCATCCCAGACCCAGGGAGATGGAGATGCCTGCCTTCCTGTCCCTTGCCACTCAATGATGAAGAAGATAGGCTGGGGAATCCTGTCTTCTATCTATTATCTATGTATCTATCTATCCATTCATCTACCTATCCATCCATCTACCTATCTCATTTATCTACCCACCTATCTTTCTACTCTATGTATTTATCTATCTATCTTGCTATCATCTATCTATTTACCTATCTAGGCATCTAGCTATCTATCTATCCATCCATCCATCCATCCATCCATGCATCTATCTATCCATCCATCTACCTATCTCATCTGTCTACTCATCTATCTACTCTATGTAATTTATTTATCTAGCTGGCTATCATCTAGTTATCTATCTCCCTATTGATACCTATATATCTGCCTTTCTACCCATTCATCCATCCATTTCTCTTTCTTTTTTTCTTTATCATCTATTATCTATATGTATCTATCTATGTATCTATGTATCTATTATTTATTTATCTCTATGTATCTATCATCTATCTCTGTGTCTGTCTCCATGTATCTGTGTGTGTATCATCTATCTCTATGTATCTATATGTCTATTTATCCATCTATGCGTCTATTTCTATCCATGCATGTATGTGTCTATCTATCTATCTATCTATCTATCTATCTATCTATCTATCTATGTCTAATCTATGTATCCTTTACGGCAGTGGTTTGCAACCAGGCACAATTTTACTCCCCCAAAGGATGCTTGGTGATGTCCAGAGATATATTTGATCATCTTGACTTTGGGATGGAGGGTGAGCTTCTGGCATCTGCTGGGTAGAGGCCAGGGACGCTGCTCAATGCCCTCCAGTGCACAGGACAGCCCCACCACAGATACGCATCCAGCCCTAAATACCAATACTGTCCAGGTGGCAGATACTTGGAGTAGCCAATAACATCAACCGATAAACGTTCTACATTTTCACATACTGATGAAACAAATTTGTGAAAAACACAAGGTCTAGGTGCATCCTAGCTGGGAATCTCCCTGGGTCTGGGATGGAGAGGCACGGATGGGTAGATGATAGATAGACAGATGGATGCATGGATGGATAGATGGATGGATGGATGAACAGATACATGATAGGTGGATGGATGCATGGATGGATGGACTAGATACATATATACATAGATGATAGATGACAGAAAGATGGATAGATATATTGACAGATGACAGATGGATGGATAAACAGATACATAATAGATGGATGCATGGATGGATGGATGGACTAGAGAGATGATAGAAAGATAGATGGATTGATAGATGATGGATGGATGGACTAGATACATAGATAATGAAAGATAATAGACTAGACACATAGATAATAGAAAGATGATAGACTAGATCAATACATAGATAACAGAAAAATTGCTGCTGTTTACTGCTCTGTCGTGGTCCCCAGTGGGGAGTTTATAAACTGCTGAAATGCATCCATTTTTCTGCTTGGCATATGGATGCTTCATTCACCATTTTCCAAGCAGAAAGCTGCCATTACTACTGCTTGGTGAGGGTTTGTGTCACTTTTGCAGGGGAATTATTCTGCATATATAACTTCCCTGTGAGACATGCGTCCTAACACCGAGGCATATTTTGTAAGCAATTCTTGTGCATTTGGCAGTAGCCTGACGTCTCTTAATCATCCAGGACGGTTTTATGACTTCCTGCAGCCACAGGAAGGGCACCCCACAATTTATGCTGCCTCCTTGCAGGCCCTGAATTCTAAAACGTCGATTGCTGTGTCTCACCGTGCTGTGGTACTTATAAAAATTTCCATGGCTCTAAAAATTTCAAGGACTTGCAGAAAATGAAGAAACAGAACTGGACGAATTCATTTCCATTTTGAAGGTTACTGGGAACATTCCATCCACTTCTTCTCCCTTACCCTTTAGAAATAGGGTGCTGGAGCTTTGAACGAAGCAGGACTTTTGGTAGAAATGAGTTTTAACACCTTCTTGCCTGGGTTTAGGATACCTGAAGGTCAAAGACAAAAAGCGAAGCCACATGAAAGTCATTTATATTCCAGTTTATGACCTGGGTTACTTTAAAACCAGCCCAGGAGATGGCGGAAAGAAACCTGGTTCTCAGCCAGGCAAAACCGTGAGATGACATTGACTAGATGTTACATGTTTCTACGTTGAGGAGGAGAAAAACTAGCGTTGTAGTAAGACAGGCTAAGACCTTCAAGAAGTAGCTATGTTTCTCTGTCTGAGGCATTGACTTGACATGGAGATTAACATTGGATGGGATTCATTCACTTCTCTATCTACCTACCTACCTACCTACCTACCTAATCTATGTATCCATCCACGCACCCAGGTCATCTGCTTATTCATCTATCTACTCTATTATTTATTTATCTAGCTGCCTATCATCTATCTATTTACTTATTTCCCAATCTATGTCTATTTATCTACCTATCCATCCATCCATCCCTCTATCATCTATGTATCCATCCACCTATGTCATCTGTCTATCCATCTATCTACTCTATGTATTTATCTAGCTAGCTATCATCTATATATCTCCCTATTTATCTACCTATATACCCATCCCATCCATTTCTCTATCTCTCCATCCATCCATCCATCCATCCGTCTATCCATCTATTTACTCTATGTATTTATTTAGCTGTCTATCTCCCCATCTATGTCTATTTATCTACCTATCTACCCATCCATCCAACTCCCTGTGTCATCTATCCATCTATCTACTCTATGTATTTATTTATCCAGCTTGCTATCATCTATTTATCTACCTCCACAACTATATTTATCTACCTATCTACCCATTCATCCATCTATTTCTCTATCTATCCATCCATGTCACCTGTCTATCCATCTACTTTATTTATCTAGCTATCATCTATTTATGTATCTCACGATCAATATCTATTTATGTACCTATCTACTCATCTATCCATCCATCCATTTCTCTATGTATGTATCTATCCATACATTTCTCTATGTATGTATCTATCCATCCATCCATCTACCGATGTCATCTATCTGTCTACTGTATTTATCTAGCTAGCTATCATCTTTATCTACGTCACTACCTATATCTATGTACCTATCTAACATCCATCCATCCATTTCTATCTATCTATCTATCTATCTATCTATGTATCTATCTATCACGTATCATCTATCTATCTATCTATCTATCTATCTATCTATGTATCTATCTATCACCTATCATCTAACTATCTACGTATCTACCTATCATCTATGGCAGTGGTTCGCTGTCTGGAGGCTTCATCTGCATGATTAATGTAATTTCTGGAGGTCAAGCCACGTTTCTGTGGAGCCCTCAAAAGCGCTGTCCGAGGTACCAAGCGTTAGAACACTGCATATGAAAATACACTCCGGTGTTGCTTAACGACGGGGATACATTCTGGGAAATGTGGGGTCAGGGGATTTCATCACTGTGCAAAAGAAAGTAGTGCACAGTTACACAAACCCAGGTGACACAGCCTTCCAGACAGCCAGGCTATATGGTGCTGCCTGTGGCTCTCAGGCTATAAACCAAACTCCAGTGCGAACCAAAAATAAATTTATAAGCCCTCAGCCATCAGAATTGACCCCCACCTTGGCCAATGGCATTCTGAACTTAAGTTGTAAAAATAGTTCTGGCCGTGATGGAAGCGTGGGTCGGGCACTCCTTTCCGGAATTCAGGAAGGGCCAACTCCACTCACATCCACACAGACCTTCATTCTGGTAAGAAATGGTTATCGTCTATTCTCTCTGAAGCCTGCTGCCTGCAGGTGCCACCTGCATGATTCCGTCTTGGCTCCCACAACCCCAGACATTCTTCTTTTCTGTTTTGTCCATGAGGCATTTGATTTGTAAATATAGGTATTACATCCCTAGAAAAAGAATCCCAGGATTTTCCCTGTTTTCATCTTGCTTTTTTTTTTATGGTCCATGATGCCAGCTGAGGTTGTCAGGACGATGAAATCAAACTGTTTATCTATCTATCTATCTATCTATCTATCTATCTATCTGTCTGTCTATCTATCTGTCTGTCTATCCATCTGTCCGTCCGTCTTATGGCATGTGTCTATCCATCTATCTGTGCTATGTATTTGTTTATATACCTAGCTACTATCTATTTATCTCCCTATCTGTATCTATTTATCTACCTATATCTATCTAGCCATCCATAAACAGATATAGACAGGGAGATAGAGGGAAGGAGAAATAAAAGAAAGAAAGAAAGAAGGAAGGAAGGAGAGAGAGATGTCAAACCCGGGAGCTGCAGCCACACCGTGGATTCTCCTCCGCTCACCCAGCAGTCCACGCAGCTCCTCCGGCTGCTAGGAGGTGTCTCCAGGCTCCGGGAAGTTGCACCATCAGGTGTCAAACAGCACATGCTAATTTCTCCAGAATCATGTTCTCTGTTTCCCTCGGAGGAAGGGTGACCAATGGGTCACTGTGAAACACAGAGGAGCCGTCTGAAGCCAGACTCGTAACAAGATTGAAATTGCTCTCAGAGCTCATCGGCTCAGCCCGGGGAACGTGGAGTCTGTCATTTTCCAGAGTGTCTGTTTACCCAGCGATAAAGACTGTCAGCGTGGCCAGGAGACATCCTGTCACCCCACTCAGAGCCTGTACCTGGAACGAGCTGAGGATGAATAGAGCAGCTGCGGCCGGGTGCGGTGGCTCACAGCTGTCATCACGGCACTTTGGGTGGCACAGGCAGGTCATGATCCCTTGAAGCTAGGAGTTTGAGACCAGCCTGGGCAACGTGGCGAAACCCCGTCTCTACTAAACACACACACCCATGAAAAATATAGCTGGGCATGGTCGAGGGTGCCTGTAATGCCAGCTCCTCGGAAGACTGACGCAGGAGAATGCCTTGAATCCGGGAGGGGGAGGTCGTAGTGAGTGGAGATCGTGCCACTGCACTCCAGCCTGACTGAAAGGGTGAGAATCCATGTAAAGAAAAAAAAAAACCAGCTGGCATGTCTTGCAAGGGCTTGAAACTGCAAAATGCTGTTGGATACGGTGCAGATGTACAGAGGTGGTGGTATTTTTAGAAGAAAATATTTGCTCTGGAGTCCTGACTGCTGGGAAATGCTTTTGGGATGAATGCACGGCCTGGATTGTGGTTTAACGGAAGAAGGCATTCCCGTTCAGACACACGAGTGTCTGCGCTCCATTGTAGGGTCCAGCACTACAGGATTCTGACAGCCCCTCTCTGCTGCTGTGGAGATGAGAAATTGTAGAAATAAAAGACAGAAGAAATAGACATAGAGAAAAGAGACTTTGAACCCGGGGTCCACTGCCAAAAAAAATATAAATAAATAAAAAGAAAGAACAAAATCCTTATTTCCAAATAAGGTCTCATTCCCAGGCTCTGGGACTAGCATAATGACAGATGTCTATACCGTGGTATTGGAGTATACACAGATCTTTCTGTAGGCCACTGTTCACGTCACTATAATGACATTCCGTTTTTTCTGGAGGTTCTAGGGTGGGGTCCTTCCTGTCACCTCTGGTAGACGTCTCCTCCTTTGATGCTGCTTCCCTGACTCAGCCTGGTTCTATCATCACAGTTTTCCTAAGAAGGGTCTCGAGATCTCAGCGACCACCCTGCACAGAGTCGGTGTCTTTCTGCAGAAGGGGCTTGAACTCATTCTCTCCGCGTTCACGGTCCTGTGTGTGGAGGTCTCAGCTCTGCTGGAAACAGCAGAGATCAGACCTCCACATACAGGACCGTCAATGCGGAGAGAATGAGCTCTTGCGCAGAGCTCAGATCTCAACACGCAGCATACTGAGCGTCTGAGTGGTATCACGTAGATCAGGCGTCCCCAAACTGCGGCCCCCTGAGGCCATTTATCCGCCCCCCTCCCCCCCGCCGCACTTCAGGAAGGGGCACCTCTTTCATTGGTGGTCAGTGAAAGCAGCACAGTATGTGGCGGCCCTCCAACGGTCTGAGGGACAGTGAACTGGCCCCCTGTGTAAAAAGTTCAGGGACGCCTGACGTAGACGACATCTTGTCTTCCACACTGGACTGCAATGGTGCGATCTCGGTTCACCGCAACGTCCGCCTCCCGAGTTGAAACGATCTTCCTGCCTCAGCCTCTCAAGTACCTGGGATTACAGGCATGTGCCACCACGCCTGGCTAATTTTGTATGTTTAGTAGTGACAGGGTTTCACCATGTTGGCGATTAAAGTGATGTCTAAGATATCCCCTTAGATAAGTGAATATCCCAGGGAAGAAAGTCCACATTTCTAATTCTTTTGTACCAAGGGAGGTCCCTTGTCTAGTAGGCCCAGGACACAGAATTCCTGGCTATCTGTAAAGGAACACCAGAAAGCCAGGCATCCTGGTTATCTATAAAGGAAAATCACCATCCGTGGGGACAAACGCATTCACAGAGGATGACTAATTTTTTTCTTAAAGAGGTCAAACGATACATTTATTATTTTCACCTAAATTACTTAACAGGGCAAACTTACCCATGTGAGAACAATCAACCGCTCATGGAAGAGGCCTGTGCTCCCGCCATTGGTTAGAAGTCCATCCCAGAATCGCAGCTGATTGATTCCATGGTACAGGTGTGCCAGGAGCTAATGTTGGATTTGAGTAGTCAGGGGGATTTGTCACTTAGGGGAATGGATAATAAGCCACCCAGTGGTCATCAGCCTCACACATAAGGAGCGCAGGCCTGTAGGGGACACACAGTACTCTCTTGAAAGCATTGCAAATGACTGATTTCTCCATGTTGACATTTGAGAATGCAACACTCATCTCTAACAGCAGAGACAGGATGGAGCCTTCCTTGATGGTGACTAAGAGTGAGCCTCTACACCAAGGACATCCCGTCTGGCTGTGTGAGGCTTTCAGGAGGATCAGAACATGGATACATTTCCTGTGGTTGCTGTAAGAAGTGACTACCAATTTGCTGGAGACTGAAAACAAGAGAGGTTTGTTCTGTCTCCGTTCTGGGGACCAGAAGTTTGAAGCCCAGATGCAGAGGGGCCGAGATCGCTCTGAGGAGGGTAAGGGAGAAGGCTTCCTGCCTCTCGCAGCTCCTGCTGGCTCCGGGGGTTGCTTGGCTGGTGGGTGCATGACTCCAGTCTCTGTGTCCATCATATGAACATTGCCCTTCTGTACTCAAATCTCGCTCATCTCCCTCTGATTGTCTCTGATAAGAACCCTTGGGATCGCATTGGGATGATGCACAATGAACCATCTTAAAACCTTTTTTTTATTTTTTATTTTTTATTTTTAGACGGAGTTTCGCTCTTGTTACCCAGGCTGGAGTGCCATGGCGCGATCTCGGCTCACCGCAACCTCCACCTCCTGGGTTCAAGTAATTCTCCTGCCTCAGCCTCCCGAATAGCTGGGATTACAGGCACACGTCACCATGCCCAGCTAATGTTTTGTATTTTTAGCAGAGACGGGGTTTCACCACGTTGACCAGGATGGTCTCGATCTCTTGACCTCGTGATCCTCCCGCCTCGGCCTCCCAAAGTGCTGGGATGACAGGTGTGAGCCACCGCGCCTGGCTAAAATTCTTAATTATATCTGCAAAGATTCTTTTCCAAATAAAGGAGTATTTACAGGTTCGGAGGGTGAGGGCGTGAACATGTCTTTTGGAGGGCTACCATTTGATCCATTATAGAGTCAACAGAGGAAACCCCAAACCCTGCTCCATGACTCACCTCGTGCCAGGGCATCATGAAGAAAGGTGTTAATGTCCCTGGTGAGTGGAGTACAGGTGAGTACTGTAGATTCAGGAGGCGTCAAGAAGAGATGTCCGCCTAGGCAGGTGCTACTGGACGGTGCCTGAATAAACAAATGGGACAGCATTTTATGTTTCATATGATTCTTAGTATTACTCCAGGATCCTGCATTGATGTGAGTGGGCAGCCAGACAACCAGTGCTCCACGGTGAGCACTGTCGGGGTCCGGACCTTGTCCCGTCTACAGAATCCCATGGTGACCAGTGTCCAAATCCTGTCCTCCTCCCATCTATAGAATCTCATGCCACCGCCCAGACCTATCCTTGTCTCATGTTCTAGTGACTCTCACATCATCCCCCGTACATGCCCTATTTTTGCTGCTGTGAACAGAAGCCCCTGGTGACAGTGCCCAGGCCGTGCGGTCGTTCCTGCCCTTCTGAATCTCTCCCCGTCGCTGTGCAGTGGTTTACACTGTCAGATGTGACAGTGGCACGCTTCACCTGGGACTGAGCCACCCTGGAGTCACGCTGACCAGATGGTGCTGCTGGCCACATGCAGCAGATCCTACGCGGTGTCACAAGTGAGACTCACACCTCTCCCCAGTCCTGACACCTGTCAATCACAGCTGGGTCTCTGGAAAAGAAATCAGTGAGTATGGGGACAAAGTGAAACAGAAGACCTCATGCACCAGCAGGTCTCAGAGAGGCTACTGTGGCCTCTTCAGAGAGGTCCCCTCTCCTGGAACTTTTGCGCTCTCTTTCCTCCGCGGAGGTTGGACTAGCCCCGAATTCCACCCCCTGAATGACATGGTGGGTGTTTCTGGGGCCACCTCCATCTTGAAGCCATTGAGGAAGCACCAGGAGTCACCTCATGGCACAAACAGGGCGTCGTAAGCCTTCGTGAAATTGCCGGAGTTGTAGCAGCTCCTGCCTGCTTCAGAAGCAGGAGGAAAGAGCATATAATATGGTCCCGGCTTTGTCTGTCCAGTTTTCTGGGAGTTAAGTCGTAGTCAACACAGCAACATAAACCGCACATGCACGTTGGAAGATTTAATGATTTAAGGCACCTGTGACCATTGGGCACTTTGGAACGGCAAGGTTTATGGCTGAATGGCTGAGGACCCCCGTGGTGGTGACTGCCCCCCCGCCAGCCCCACCCGGCCCCACAATGGTTCCTTGGCTCCTTGAAGTCCTGCGGAAGTCCAGGCAGCTCTCCAAACGAGAGGACAGGGCCCCACCCCCATGGGGAGACGGGCATGAGAAAGACAATCACCACGGTCTTCACAGAGCCAGCAGCCGGTGGGAGGCGCAGCGGGCTTCTGGGCGCCGCAGCTATCCTGACACAGGGTATCTCAAGGTCACATCAAGGATGCCCGTCATCTCACAGCTCTTAGACCAGAGCTGCTGCTGCAGTGTCTGGTCATAGGTGATGGGGAGGGACCTGATCTCTGTCTCGTTGTACAGGTAACGGCCTCCAACTCCTTCCAGCTCTGGGGTGACTGCTGCGTAGACGGAGGTCCGTGCTCCTTCATCGGGGGTCTGTGGGAAGAAGAACAGTAACATGGGTCAAACTTCAAATGCCCATCGACGATAGACTGGACAGGGAAAAGGTGGCACATAGACACCATGGAATACTATGCAGCCATCAAAAAGGATGGCTTCGTGTCCTTCGTATGGACATGGATGAAGCTGGAAACCATCATTCTCAGCAAACTGACACAAGAGCAGAAAACCAAACACGGCATGTTCTCACTCACAGGCGGGTGCTGAACAATGAGAACACATGGACACGGGGAGGGGAGCGTCACACACTGGGGTCTCTTGGTGGGGCTATGGGAGGGACGGCACGGGGTGGGGAGGTTGGGGACAGATAACATGGGGAGAAATGACAGATACAGGTGATGGGGCGATGGAGGCAGCAAACCACCTTGCTATGTGTGTACCTATGCAACAATCCTGCATGATCTGCACACCTACCCCAGAACCGAAAAGAAAAAAAGAAAAAAAAGAAAAAAAAAATTTCTGAGCAGGAAACAGGATTCTCAGGACTCCCGGGGATGCTTCAGGGACAGGTGGAATATACCCATGCGCTGCACCGAGACACGTGCAGAGGAAGTCAGGTTGGGTAATGTCTCTGAGCCCCAGCTTCTCTGCTGCTGGGTTTCTTTGGAACAGGCACTGAGAATAACACTCCCGAGTGGTTTGCATTTCAATGATGGGTAAATCCGTCTCACCAGGCAGACGCATGTGCAAATCCCTGATGTACGTCTTTAACTCACCCGCTCTTTATCGGACCGAAGCGCTTATCAGTTGACTAGAAGCAGATGAGTGAGCATGTTGCCTCTGTATCTAATAAATAATGTTTAGCAATTAGATGAAACTTCCTGACATCAAAAAAAGATTCTTGTTTTCCATTCAGCAAGGTATGCCACAACGGAGAACTGAGGCGTTTGTGGTCTGTGATCACACGCTTCATGGAAAACAGACGGTTCAAAAAGGAACTTTCGAGGCAGAAGGACATGTTGCAGAGACTGGGGATTTTACCCTCGTGGCAAGCGATCATCGTGGAACACACCACACCCTGGTTTTCTGCAGTGGGAGTTGGCCTTTGATCGTGGTTAGTGGGACGGAAGAAATGGTGGACTCTCAGAGGAGTTAGAAGTGCTGGAGTATGAGAGCCTTCACGGTTAGGATACAGTAGTCCAGAAACCAATACAGCCCCCTCTTAACGTCTTATTGTCATGATGAAGACGTTTCAGGAGCCTATCTCTTGTAATCAGCTTCTGGGAATCCGGTCAATGTATCCACCATGGTAGAACCGAGACAGAAGTCACCATCTGTGAAACAGGAGGCACGTGCCTGCCAGACACGGAATCTGCCATGCCTTGTTCTTGAACTCCCAGCCTGCAGAACTGTGAACCATCAATGTGTGCTGTCTGCAGGCTGCCCAGGCCATGGTGCTTTCTGATGGCAACGCAAGCAGACTAAGACATCTGAAGTCCAGAGTTTATCCTGGGGTCTCATGGCATAGCTATGACTGATTAAGTTACTGCCCAGGTAATCAGATTCAACCCCCATTCCCTCTTTCCTCTCTGGAGGTCACGCTGGCCCCAAATTCCACCACCCAACTAATGACATGGTTGGTGTTTCTGGTGGCCAGTCCCACCTTGAAGACATTTAGGAAGCAGCAGGAGTCACCTCATTGTATAAGCAGGGCGTTGCTAGCCTTCGTGAAATTGCAGGAGTTTTAGAAGCTCCTCCTCCTTACAGAATCGGAAATAACGAGCAGATACTGCCTTGGTTATATTCCCTGGAGTTTTCTGGGAGTGATGGTGAATTTGCCCGCATTGATTTCACCCCTCAGCACTGTCCCTGGCACTGTGATGGCTCATGCCTGTAATCCCGGTGCTCTGGGAGACCGAGGAAGGAGGACTGCTCGAATCCAGGGGTTCACGACGAGGCTGAGCAACATGGCAACAGCCGGCACTGATGAGAGCTCGGGAACATGCCCTCCCCCAGGTTGCCCGCAGTGGCCTCTGAGACCCGGTGACTTCAGAAATTCTGTTGCTCTCAGTTCACTGCCTCCTGGTGTTGACTTCAGTGGCCAGCGTGGCACAGAAAGCCATAATAGAGAATGCAGTGTGCCCACCAGCCAACCTCCGGGTTGGAAGCAACGGGACCAGGTAGGCTGGACCCCAGCCAACCGACAGAGCTACCGAACTCCTGTGATTGTTTCTCGCTGACTCTTGCCTCTGCTTTTTTGCTGCATAAAAGGAAATGGATCGAGCTAGGTAACTTCCTGTCTGGAAATCGCCTCCGGGTGCCTGGAGGTTTTCTTCAAAAGCTGAAGTGTCCTGGGTATTCGGAGTCTGATACGGTTGGCTGTGTCCCCACCCAAATCTCATCTTGAATTGCAGCTCCCAAAATTCCGACGTGTCTTTTTTCTTTCTTTAGAGACAGGGTGTCACTCTGTTGCCCAGGCTGCGGTGCAGTGGCTATTCACAGGTGCGATCCCCCTACTGATCAGCACGGGCGTTTGGACCTGCTCCGTTTCCGACCTGGGCCACGTCATCCCTCCTGAGGCAACCTGGTGGTCCCCCGCTCCTGGGAGGTCACCATATTGATGCCAAACTTAGTGTGGACACCCGATCGGCACAGCACACTGCAGTCCAGAACCCCTGAGCTCAAGCGATCCTCCCACCTCAGCCTCCTGAGTAGCTGGGACTACAGGCACGCGCCACCGCGCCCGGCGATCTGATGGGTTTATAAAGGGGAGCTCCCCTTCCCACACTGTCTCTTGCTGGCTACCTTGTAAGACATGCCTTTGCTCGTCCTTTGCCTTCTGCCATCATTAGGACGTGTCCCCAGCCATGCTGAACTGTGAGCCCATTAAATCTCTTTCACTTCATAACTTACGCAGTCATGGATACGTCTGTATTAGAAGCATGAAAACAGATAAACGCAGAGATTGTATCTGAAAATATTTCAACTTGCGCCTGGTGGCTCATGCCTGTAATCCCAGCACTTTGGGAGGCTGAGGAGGGTGGATCACGGGGTCAAGGGATCGAGACCATCCTGTCCAATATGGAGAAAGCCTGTCTGTACTATAAATACAAGAATTAGCTGGCAGTGGTGACAGAATCTGGTCACCATCTATGCATCAGGAAGCAGGTCCCTGAGAGACATGGAATCTTCCATGCCTTGATCTTGAACTCCCAGCCTCCAGAACTGTGAGCAATCAATGTCGTTTGCAGGCTGTGGTCCAAGGTACTCAGGAGGCTGACGCAGGAGAATCGCTGGAACCCAGGAGGCGGAGGATGAAGTGAGCCAAGATCGCATCACTGCACCCCAGGCTGGGTGACAGAGCGAGACTCCGTTCTCCAAAAAAAAAGGAATGAAGAAAAAAAGAAAACAGCTCAGGGGCAGATAGAGGAACCCATGGCTTGGGTCTTGCGTGTCCTACCATGCCCTGGGCATCTAAAGACCAAAGGTAAAGGTGAAAATGTTAAGAAGAGGAAGGGAAGAAGGAAAGAGCAGAGGAGGAGGCAGGAAAGAGGGAAGGCAGGGGCCGACTGAAGCCCACCAAGGGGTTTGAAGGTGTTTCCCCGGGGCAGCCTTCAAGGCACGAAGAGGTTTTATCCATCTGCTTCGTGCTTCTCTCTTCTGCGGCCAAGTTCTGCCCCCAAAGCCAGGATTCTTCTTCCTTCCTCATCACATTGCAACTGGAAAATACAGGGTCTTCCGGGGGCCGGTCCGCTTCCACACAGGCAGGGTCCGCAGGCACCGCGGCTCTGAGTCCAGCACGGTGCACCTTCCCACACTGCCGCTGTGGACGCGGCGATCGGAGAGGCCGGATGGGGGCCGCCCTGCGTGCCCAGGAGAGACCACGGCTCTGGGTGCACAGAACTCGGCGTTTCTGCTTCACACGGGTGCCTGAGAGGCTCACCCGCCTCATTGTATATTTAGTGCTGTGCCTTCTTTGCAAACAAATCCTTCGGTCAGCTCTGGAGCAGGTTTCTGTTGTAGTCTGCCATCGTTCATAATGAGGATCCAGGGGCTTATGACCCAAATACCTCCCCTGTGCTGTGACCATGTGGTACGATGCCTCCATCCAGAGAGACCCTTGACTCCTCCAGATGCAGCTGTAACCGCTCCTGGCTTCCTCAGCACTGTCTATATTGTGGAACACACTCAGCACTCTCTGAAGGGAGGATTCCTCCTTGTGACTCCCCTGTGGGCTGCATCTGGGGGGCTTTGGTTTCCACTGTATATCGAATACTCCTCTTATCTGAGTAAGGGTTCTTCGGCTATGCACATTCAATTGTGGCATGAGTACGACCATTCAAGGGGACAAGATACCATTTAAGGGGACAACATACCACACAGTATGTTGAAAATGAACGTGGGATTTCCAGAAGACAGCGTGTCGTGCTGAAAATGTTGCTGTTTCTGGGGGCACAGAGAGGATGACCTGATGAAGTTCTATTTGAGGGTTTTTTTCTGTAAGAAATTCACAGGCACACATATACACACGCACACACACACACACATATTCACACACATTCATATGCACTCACATGCTCACATGCACAGCAATATATATTCACACATATGGACACAGTCATGCGTATGCACTCACTTGCATATGCATGCTCACACACTCATTCACATGCACACATTCATTCATGTGCACATGTGCTCACATGCACTCATCGCATGCACACATGCTCACACACTCACATGCACACACATTCACATGAACACATGCTCACACATTCACATGCTCACACATTCACATGAACACATGCTCACACATTCACATGAACACACGCTCATTCACATGCACACATCCACATATGATCACATACACTCATTCACACATTCATGTGCATACACACATGCACGTTTATATGCACACACTCATCTGCACACATGCTCACACTCAACACGCATTCATCTACACACAGGCTAACATACACTCACACATGCTAACATACACATTCACATGCACCCATGCTCACATTCACATGCACACTCGT